GGTTATACCACTCTATAGCCTATACAGCTAATTCCACTCATCCTACACTCCTCTCCATTCATACTTGGCTTAAAATACCTACTTTGTATGATCGCCATTTCAATGAAAAGTATTAAAGTATCAAGTATTAATTCTGTTTACGAAGCCGTTTAAAAAGAACTCTGTAAATCACCGGGCTGATTACCATGATCTTAACACATATACGTATGCCTACTTTACAGATTAATTGTAAAATAGGACTGTGGCATCAGATTTTGTATGTTGTAATATGTTATATACATAAACAGGTTGCATGTCTTTTATTATTTATAATTCACATTATGTTTTAGCCATCCGTCGTTACTATTCTGTGCAAAATTGACGTCGTTGCTAAGACCAATTTGATATAAAATAAAGATTAAGTATTGAACTACCAAACTTGCCTTACTGTATTTTTATTTAACGATACATTTTTATCTGTCCAGAGATATTGCAACAATAATTTTACATTTATTCGTCATAATGTGATAAATCGGCAAATGTGACAAAACTGAGAAATTGCCGAGCCCGGCAAAGAAATTGTTCTATGTTACTTTTCCCGGTCAAATGTAAATATGAAATGTGCTGATGCAGAGATGAGTTTACAGACGTAACGCAGCACCAGGATCAGCATCTGAGGCGCCTCTGTCTGGAGATCAGCATTCCACGGCACAGAGGGCGTACAGAAGGCGTCAGCATTTTGCTGAGTAATAGACGAAACGATTAACTGTCAACCAGCTGTCGATTATAACAACCACTCTCGTGTATTGTAGAGATTTTTACATATTTATTTACCTCCAGGGAAATATGAATTACTGTACCGTGGTATTAACATGGTGAGACTCTGGACAGGGCCAGTGGACTTATCGGATATCGTGTTTGTCTGAGTAGTAAGTTGCGACAACTGTAAATATTCTCCGACTTTCATTAACTTTGACTTTCATGGTAAAAAGTTATAATTATTATGTTAGCGATTACGGCAACATCCGTGAACATATGCTGCGACCATTGCAACGTCGTAATCATCTCCGGCGATCGCGGCAAAATACGTGGGCAACAATGGTAACATCTGTGAGCATTTGTTACAACTAGCGTCTAGACTGCCAGTACAACTCCGAGGAACGAGGATCAGATCACCCCCCACCACCGCACCATGTCATACGCTTCCGTTCCGAATCATGCCGGCACATCAGCATAGCCTAACTCTTCGCGGAAAATTGTTATCTCTCTATCACTGTCGCTGTCAAAACGTATCGTTTATAGGTTAAATTTAAATTAAAAATAATTAAACTGTCATAACCTAACCAAACTTGCTGATAATGAAAAACTCGAATGAAGGTTTACTAATCGAAAAAATTGTTCTGTTCTAAAAATAAAATTATAAGTGTCACAAATTCAATTTTATAATTTTAATGATAAAATTAAACTGTCATAACCTAACCAAACCAACCAAACTTGCTGATATGAAAAAAAATTGTTGACAAAAAGTTAGTGCAACCAAATAGTTCTGTTCTAAAAATAAAATTATAAATGTCTCAAATTCAGTTTTATAATTTTTAAATTATGAAATTAAACTGTCATAACCTAACCAAACCAACCAAACTTGCTGATATGAAAAAAATTTTGACAAAAAGTTAGTGCTATAAACGGGATTCGAACCCGGCACCTTTCGATTATCAGCCCGACAAGCTATCCACTACACCACCAAAGGTTCATGACAATGCTCCGTATCGTTGCGGTAATGGTTGACGTCACGACATCGGCACGGAGCGGTGGTGGGGGGTTTTCAGATCTGATCCTCGTTCCTTGGAGTTGCACTGGCTGCCTAGATGCTTATTTTGTTACAATCATAAAATCATCGTTATCATCCGGGATCTTCCGCCGTCATCACAAGGAATGCACAATATTGGCGGCTATTATTCAAAAACTATAATTTCTTTAACTTACACAAAATCTACACACAATCCAACTTTACTTTTAAGAGAATTTCTAAAATATGACTGAAGAATGTTCAGTTTGGACGTCCCCAAGGACTAAGGAGTTTCAAAAGGGGTTTTAAGGGGTTGCCTCATAATTTTAATTTTAAAAACGCTCATATCATCACTATGTAGATACTCTTCAACTCGAGCTTAATTAGCTTTCTGGTGAAACCGAGGTTGGATACTGTAAATAATTTGTCTACTTACGGAATCATTAATTACCCTATTGACAAAAATCGGTTAGCTATAAGTTAGCTTCAAAAATAGGGTATAAATCAGTTTACAACGGAGTAAATACAGCTAAAAATCGCAGTACCAGGTGATGTTTTCAACCAAGCATTTAACAAAAACGTCCATTTTGCTGCAGTAGATATGTATGACGAAAAACGTGTCTAGCTAAAGCAAAATTGACTTATATAAATTCCAACAAATCTATATAATTAATACGCTACATGAAACTTTGTCGGTTGAACTCCTCCTTTTATCCATTGACGTCTCATTGGAAAGAGCGTGTCGCGTAGTTTTGCAAACTGGCCTTACATTTTTGAAAAAGTCCCTTGGACTCTGCCCCATTGGCTTTGAAAGTTCCCATGTTATCCTTATAGAGAACACAATTGTTTACATTTTGATCAGCTGTATAATTTAATTGCTGTTATTTATTTTTCAATTCAATGAAACGCATTGAGTACATTTATTTACTACAGTATTTGAGTTTGTGTAAACATAACCCCCAAGACGGATCGTGTTAGTATGGTTGTATCTCAAATTTGTGCATTTATCGTTGTTTTGTGTAGATATAATGTGTTTAATTGTTGTTTTTTTCTTTTAAATGTCTACGACGTGACGACAACGAAACATAGACAGGAGGTGTAATCGTGATAACGACCGTAGCTACAGAACAGAGGCGCGTAATAGGCTTAACTCATCAAGTCAGCACCTGACCCTGGACAATCTCAACTATTAAGTTATAAATGCGCCCTAACACTACCCCAAAACGACTTTTTGTTCTCAATTAGCCCTCTATCAATGACCTGTGTTGCCTGTACAGCGAGGCATTTTGGGAAGGAGAAAACAGGCCGGAATGCTTTAGGTTTATCAATAAAATAACGAAGATAAACATGGTCTGTGTTACACACCGACCGGTAATGTTTGAGTTGACTCTTTTGAACTCATTGTAAATATGACTGTTATTCGTTTTGAAATAACTCCTGTAATACTTTGCAATTGCTCGAATTCGAGCAACGTGTACACTAGTATATAATAAATACTTGAACAGCTATAACTAAAAGCTTGTATTGTTGTAGTTGTCTATAGATCCCATCATGTTTGGACGCTGCAAGACTGTAGACAAAGAACGCGAGATTCTACGCTTGAAGCGGCCACAACAATAAAACAGCTGATTTTAGACTCTTTGTAGTTGAGCTTCACACATATTTTCCCCACAAAAGGTTCTTTAGACAAGAAAAGGACTTAAACTTATTGAATGTTTTAAAAATCATTTAGCGGCCCTAAGCTCAAGGACGTTACTGTATGCAGATACTTTAAATACTTTTCATTGAAATGGCGACCATACAAAGTAGGTATTTTAACCCAATAATGGAATAATGTTAGAATTTGTAGGAAACTATATAAATTAGTTCTCCACTAGTTCAAGATAAACTTCTGTAATATTTGGATTGAAAAGACTGGCTACCGACGTTCAGTTTAAATAAACAATTTACATTCTAAATAATAATTATTTTAATTCTACGCTAAAGCATATTATTGCAAACCAATTTACAATTTCAATTAAATTCGAAATGTCACCAATTTCAACTTGGTTTAAATAAAAATGCGAAAATATACAGTTATTTAAAGTAATCATTGATTAGATTTACGCCTGGGCCAATTGCATTCCGAACAAAATCTGCAGAAATCTTGGAAACTAAATACAAGCGGTTTAAGGTAATTTATTGAGGGAGTACAATACATAAATAAATTGAAGCACTAACCTACATCAAGCTAAATTATTGTCTCGGTCTAATAGACTGGGCAATTCTGGACCCCTTCCTTATCCAATACATTGGTAGGAGGATATCCTTCACTTCGCATAAGAGGTTGCACTGCTAATTCTTCCTTTGCAACTTAAGACTAGTGCTTTTATAGATTAATTGTATATTATATGTTTACAATCCTTTCAATTTTTATTAATTAACCCTCGCTTTACTACAATTTATTAATTTATAAAATATATATTTTTTTACAAATTTTGAAAATCTATTATTTTAGGGACTGCAGGTAGTTTGTTCCCTTCTCTTGAACCGTTGATATAAAGGGAAGTTGTTCTCTCGTTGGGGGGTGGGTTATAATTTTTATTATTGTTGCTTTAAAAATTAGGAAAGTATTGTTGAAAATGCCTGCCTTTTGTTATTTGAAATAGTCATACTACAGATTATATGCATGTTTATTTATTATCAACTGTCTGTTTTGTTAGTCCAATTTTGTTCATCAGAAATACATCTGCTTGTTTTATAGTTTAGATTAGTTTTTCCATCGTAACTTAGATTTTCCCTTATCACCTCCACTTGGAGAATAATTCAAGAAGTATAGATAGGGTGTATTCACTGGTCTCCACTAACAGCATTTAAAAATAAGTCTTAATGGGTATGATAATTTTTACGGTATTTTATGGGAAAATCATAATTAAAAAATCCAAAAAATAAAAAAACGCCTGGAAACAATAAAAAAAACGCCTTCAAATAACAGGAGTCCCATTTCTTCTTGTATTTCAGACAGGGTATGCTTTTATGGTCAAAATAGACAGTTGAATCTTTGGGAGATGACCGTTGAAAATACTGGCCAAAATTCCGACCAGTATAATTTCCACCAGATCAACGACGTGGTCATTTGACGGTCGACCGTAACTTAATTTTAGGTCGTTTAATTTTGGTTCACATGCAAATCAATGTCAGTTTTAATTTTAAATTATATTTTAGTGTATGGTATAAATAGATAGTCACTCACCTGACCCAGGTCGATTGTGAGGTTGACCTCGTTGTACTTTGACCCTCTGGACAACGGAGGACTCTGCCACCAGGTCTCTGTCCCGTCCACGGCGTACTCCGGAGGATGCGTCTTGAGAGGGTTGCTGGGGTCACAATGATCGCAAACCTACACCAGATCAGGGGCGATTGGACAAAATTGATTGGATGTTTGTATGTCATCTTTGGTGTTTCTAGTTTTACACTACACTATAACAATTTTGTATGACTATTTCCAGTTTTGTGTGTTTGAATGTCTTCCGGTTACGCTGAATAATATGAACCACATAGGCTATGTTGGTGTTTCACGGGAAAACGAGAACCCCTCTTTTAATGAAATTCATTATCACGTTTTCTTTACATGTGAGGAAATATTCAATGTTAGAGAAAACTGAACTTTGTTCCTTAAGAGTTGAAATTAAAGTACGTTTACAACACTCCTTCGGAAATATTTAGTTCGCGTTTTTTTTTCAAAATTGGACTTGCCAATAATGGCAAAATATAACTTTGGCTTTGTGTTACAGACCTGCATGGAAAGGTTGTAGGCAACTTGAATGTTCAAAATCAACCCAACAGCGAATTAAAAAGATCTAGAAGTTGGCATAAAACATTTGTTACATTTTGGATTTTTAAGCACACTGATATTTTGAATTTTTTTTAACTACCTTTTACGAGCATCGGCATAGGAGTTAGCTCGACTCTACAACCCAAATAAAGCGTTTCTAACTAATAGTAATAAAGAGATTAGAAAGCTTGATTTAAGTGTATCAAGATAGCATCCTAAATTCAAGAAAGTTTCTACAAATCGCTGTAATTTTTAAGTAGATTAGCAAATACTAAGACGTCATAATATTGTAAATATTGTATTGTATATGATTGTATATACAGTACTCGTAGTTGGTAGTTGATCCAAAGTACTCAATACAATGATCTGGCCCTACATTTAGTGAAATAAAACTAATAACGACAAATTAACATTACATGTAGAATTAAAAATAATGGTATGTTTAAGACTTACTTGTCCTTGTATCAGTAAATTGTCTTGTTCCCTAAGTACGTCCGAATTGGCACCGATAAGTTTACAAAAAAGTTCAGGTTCGTTAACACCTTCTCCGCAAGTGGCGGTGGCTGTGACACGACGTCCCTCTGCCAAGTTGAAGTACGGGGGTGTCAAATACTCGGGGCGGCCGGGGCGAAGACACGCCGCCATCAAAACCAACAACCGCAGCGCAGCGGCTGCGTCCATCTCTCGTGGTGTCACTCACTAAACTAGCGCTACGCTACGAGCTAACGAGCTACGATACGAGCCGCTGGCCGCTAACCGTAGCCGACCCGCGCGTCGAGTGCGGCGGATACGGAAACAGTGTGGCCAACGTGGTCGTGTTCCCAGCTGGATATTGTCGTGCAACGCTAATGCCGTTGATTTAGTACTACGCATACTCACATTACATATATGTAGCCTACCTAGGGAAATAAGCTATTACCGTAGTACTCATGGTAAGACCTGGGCCCGGGACCGATTAATTTTTTCGTTTTGAGGTCCCTAGAGGCCAAAAACACCATCCGTTCAAATCCATATATATATATATTTAAATATATGTATATATATATTTAAATATATGTATATATATATTTATATATGTGTGTCCGTTAGCACGATAACTCGAGTAAAAATCATCCGATTTCGATGAAAGTTGGTACAAACGTGTAAACCTACATTTATTCGAACGATTTTGCGAACCAGGATGATCGGACCATGGGAACAGGGGTTTATGGGGGGTTTTATGGGGTAAAAATTAGTTTTTCCCATTTTTCACCCTAAAAACATAAAATTTTGCAATTTATTTCGAAACATTTTTGTGGGGCTCAAAAAACAAACAATGTAGTATATTGAAGCTGAAGCGATGTCATACGCCTAATAGTTATGGAGAAAATTCCAAAAAATTGCAAATTTAAAATTCCCATGTTATTCTTATGGAGAATAAGAAAACTTGTTGTAGTTAGACTGTTTATGAATATATTTTGATAAAATTTGGAAAATGCATTTATTTCATACTGAACTATTTAACATTTTACTAAAAAACACTTTTTTGCCCTCCCTGTCGCAGCAAACCTAAGTACTCGTTAAACTAGTGCTATTTAAATAGGGAATAAATGTGATATCTATAAGTATAAAAGAGGATGTTTGTATATCTAATATATAAAATTCTCGTGTCACAGTGTTTGTCTGCAAACTCCTCCGGAACGACTTCACCGATCGTTATGAAATTTGGTGTGTAAATTCTGTAGGTATGCGAATCGGACGTAAACTATTTCCCGTTTCGAAATTCTTAAAAGGGCTCCGCCCCAGTGGCTCTGGAGTTTCCCATATTAACCTTATGAGAAATGGAATTAATGAATCTTAACAGCTGTTTCAATTAAACAAGTTGGTTCTGTTCTATGATGTTCAATAGCATTAAAGTTACAAGGATTACCAACAGGGTGCAGCACTATTATTTCTTTTACATTTATGACAACAGCTAATTTGCAACCAAAAGGTGAGTGAGCGTAGCGAACGAACTTCAACCTGGAGGCGAGTTAGCGTAGCGAACGAGCTAACCTGAAGGCAAGTGAGCGCAGCGAACGAGCTCCAACCTAAAGGTGAGTGAGCGTAGCGAACGAACTTCAACCAGGACGTGATTGAGCGATGCGAACGAGATCATCTTGAAAATTAAACGTAACGGTACTTTCTTTCCATCGGTCTGTCTTAGGGGAAACCTATAACTTAGGCGATACGAAGTTCGCCGGGTCAGCTAGTATATATATATATATTTGTTTGTTTGGCAGTGATAAACTCAGACACCGCTGAACCGATTGCCACGAAACTTGCTACATACGTGTAGAATGCCATGGAATAGGTTTATACACCATCAATTTCGTGATCCGTCCAATCGGCTCCGCCCCAGTGGCTCTGGAGTTTCCCATGTTAACCTTATGAGAAATGGAATTAATGAATCTTAACAGCTGTTTCAATAAACAAGTTGGTTCTGTTCTATGATGTTCAATAGCATTAAAGTTAAAAGGATTACCAACAGGGTACAGCACTATTATTTCTTTTACATTCATGACAACAGCTAATTTGCAACCAAAAGGTGAGTGAGCGTAGCGAACGAACTTCAACCTGGAGGCGAGTTAGCGTAGCGAACGAGCTAACCTGAAGGCAAGTGAGCGTAGCGAACGAGCTAACCGGAAGGCAAGTGAGCGCAGCGAACGAGCTCCAACCTAAAGGTGAGTGAGCGTAGCGAACGAACTTCAACCAGGACGTGATTGAGCGAAGCGAACGAGATCATCTTGAAAATTAAACGTAACGGTACTTTCTTTCCATCGGTCTGTCTTAGGGGAAACCTATCATCTTGAAAATTAAGAAGTTAAACGGGACAAAGCCCGCGGGTTACAGCTAGTTTTAGTATAAATTCAATCAGACAAATGGAAATTCGCTTAGTCTGCAGGTTTGCTGCGGTGGGGGTATTTTTAGCAATATGCTAATGTCAGACCCTTATGTAAGTATCTGGAGTTTGGTTAAGAAATTGATATTTGGATAATTTTAGCTTTTAGTAAAATACTGCAAATCCGACTTCAAAAAGTTTACATCGCGCTAATCTATGAGCGCTCTAATTTAGGATATTAAAAGTTTAAAACGATTTAAAACGCTTGTCGAAAAATTAATCAATTTCAAAAGCTTTGGATGTTTCATAAGCATTTGCATATTTTCTATAATTGTAATTCCAAGCAATTCAAACTCCTTTTTAACTTGGTTTACCTCAGTAAGAACTAGGCATTTACTTTTCACATAACTTTATTAGGTACGAAGAGTACTAATACTAACTGATCTAGACAACTGCAAAAAGATATTTGTCTGAGAACTTTCTTTTTATATTAGAACTCCTTCTACACCAGAGCCTCGCTAACCTAAGAACTAATCGGGGCCAGACCCAGTTCGAATTGGTAAATTATTCGCATTAGTCAGGATTCAGTTAAGTTGCACACAAAATATAAACAATGTAAATCCTTGGTCTTACGGTGGTTAGTATTTACACAGACATTTGGCACTATGACGTGGCATCCTCAAAATAGGTAAATAATACCGCTTTGACGCGGAAGACCAAGGATTTAGTGATGACACCGGTTGCGCAAGTCTGCAAATGAAGATAAGAACTTTGTATGTTCATGATTATGGTCATATATTGCGCCTGCGATCACATCAGTATCGAGTCGTCTTCTACGGTCGTGGAAAAATATACAGTACATAACATTTCTCGGACTTCTTCCCGGCCATTAAAATTCACGTGCATTTCCCGGTTTCCTCAGTTTACCGGTCGTTTACCTTGGTTGGTATTTCAGAATAAATAGTTTTTTTTTATTAAATACATTAACCTCTTCTCAATCATTTGTGATTAACTAAACGTTCGGACTAGCGGGGTTCAGATTAGCGGGACACTATGGTGTTTAATACCCCGTTTCAAAGAACGGATCAAAATCGTTGTTACTAAATGATTAGAATTTTTGCAGTTAACCCAGCTGTTCAGTCTGATACTTGACAGTGAGAAAGTGAAAGTAATCGGATCACTTTCAGCGCCTTCGATAGCTCAGTTGGTAGAGCGGTGGACTGTAGAGGAAAGTCGAAGACATCCATAGGTCGCTGGTTCAAATCCGGCTCGAAGGATTATATTTTTGGATTTCAAATTCATTTTCAAACTAGTGCAACTTACATAAAACTTCGAATCTGATTAATTTTTTAAATATTATCTATATATATAATTCCGTAAGTCAAATTTTTGTAAAGAAATTGTGAGTGACTGGATGGCCGTAGAAGGATGGGAGGAGTCTTATTTTAAAGGTCTTGACGTGAATTTTGAGGGAAAACTATTCATTTTTCTTATTTGTTTACCACAAATTCGCAACAGAATAAAACTTTTCCCATTAAAACAACATGGGGTTTAATTTGTTTACATCTTTTGAAATTAAAACAGCTGTGCCACAGATCTGAAAACAGTGATCAATACACGCATTTGGTTTACTTTTAGCCAGTCAACTATGAAATGTATACTACAATAAAACTGAAATATTGAAGATTAGTAGGAAAATTCTTTGTTTATATTTAAATCATATACTCAAGTTTCATTTTTTCATGCTTTTACGTTATTGTCGTGTTAAAGGAATAAACGACATAGAATAAATATTCTGTATAAATAATCAAAGAGTCGAAATTAAATCTAACTTCTGTTTTATTTTTATTTTTAAATCATATGTTCAAGTTTATTTTAAATGATGTTGTTTTCTTTATATTTCTACACGTTTTAAGGTTAAGGTTGTGTAAATATATACAACTAAAATAACCTATAAATGTTATTGGTTCTAAAATGGTGTATTTGCATTCCTTCGTAAGTAAATTTTTTTAGTGCAGTGAATATACAACGTAGAGCAATCATATTCGATCATACTTTTATAAAATCACCAGGGATTCAAGATGTTTTGGTATGTAGGCTGCTGGATATATATTCTTTTCATTATAAGTACTGTAATTAATATGAACGCCAGGGGAATACCACAAAGGCGGGGAACTGTTCATAGGAATGACAGTGCGCGTAGGAGAGCAAGAGTAGATAATGATTAACTTAATCAAGATATGTTACAACCCCTTTTTAGGAGACCCATGGTAGACGAGAGAAATGTAAAGATCCATGATGCAGGATTACTGGACCAAGAGTGCATTCAATGTAGTGCTCTTCATTTTAGAGAAGAACTAACGAATAATCATTTTATGACATGTTGCCATAACGGACTTATTAACCTTCCTCAGTCAAAAACTAATGTAGAACTTAAAAGTTTGTTTGACGAGAGCCCACAACTGTATAAATTCATTCGACAATGCAACAGTGCGATGGCTTTTGCTTATTTTTCAGCCAGTAAGAAAGTTATTCCAGGAAAAGGACCATACTGTTTCAAAATTCAAGGACAGATTTATCGTTCAATCTCAGATTTGCTGCCTCAACATGATGAAGACCCCGTGTATGGCCAATTGTACATTATTGACACATCAACAGCAACAGAAATTCGTCAAAGGCGTCGAGAAATTAGTGACTTAAAACCTGAAATATTGTCAAAACTAGCTGAAATTCTATTAGAAAATCCATTTGCACAAATTTACAAAAGAGCTTCGGAAGAAATGGTTGTACAAGGTGACAGTGAATTAGAACTTAGGTTTGTAGACAGGATAAATATGGATCGTCGTAGGTATAATAAGCCTACTGCAGATGAAATTGCAGGCGTCTTCAATTCATCTGAAGGCAAACCTCCAATGAATTTTTAAAATTCCAAACAGGGAAGCTTTTATTTATCCTCATTAACCACAAGACCAAAGCTACCTTAGTAAACCAGTATTTATTCACAAACAATGATATGTTTGCTGCCTTTTCATGTTAAACCACTGGAGTGGTTCAAATTATTTATTGAAAATGACATCAACAAAAGCAAACAAAGAAGAACAACAAACTGGTTTTTACACAAAAGATATGGTGTAGGGATGCCTATTCTGACACATAGATAATGTTATTCTGAGTTTGTTTAAATAACGGTATTGCAAAAAGTTGTTTTACATTTGAGCTTTTTAGGGACTTATGTCCCTACAAGCCACTAGTTCAGTAAAATGTTGTATTTTACTGCTACCTTAGATAATGCAAAGATAGATTTTTTTCCTTTGTTTAAGTTTTAGCCAGTATTATTAAAATAAAGTTAACATATTAAGTTAGTTGAGCTACCGAACACGCTGATCTAGATGACTTATTCCTGATAAGGATAGTTGTGTCATATCACATTTCACAGTAACAAAAACGAATGTGGAAAATATAATGTTAGTAGAGATTAAATTTGGTTTAAAGGTGTAGGCGGGATAAACTTGAATGAGTTCGCGAACCAGCATGATTGGACCATGGGAACGTTTAACGGGGGGTTTTATGGGTAAAAAATGGGGTTTTCTAATTATTGTTTACCATTAAAACACAAAATTTTTCAATTGTTCTCCAGACCTTTATAAAGAGATTTAAAAAACTAATAATCTCTATTCGTAGGTCTACGAATAAGAAAACTAGTATACCAAAGTGTTTTTGTACTGTGATTGGTTACGGAGAAAATTAAAAAAATGTAATTAAAAATGTCCATGGAATTCTAATGGAGAATACAGTATGAAATGTAAAATGTTGGCTTGTTTATGGATATATTTTTTTTTTAACTTGGCGGATTTATTTATTTTATACTAAGCTATTGATATTTAAATAAAAAACACACTCTATTAGTTTCCCTGTAGCAGCTAACCTAGATACTCGTTAAACATAAATGTTAATTTAATAGGTTAATTGAAAATCAATCCAGGAAAATGGAAATTCGCTTAGTCGACAGGTTTGCTGCAGCGGGGGGTATTAATCTAAAGGAGTTATTTCTTGTTGTAACTAATTTTGAATTTTGACTTGTCAAATGTTTTTTTATGGTGTATCAATCAAATTAACCAATGTAAGTAAGTAATGGGAGACATGTGAAGTCTTTTTTCAGTTTTTTCTTTTTTACGTCCGTGAACACGATAACTTAAGGAATATTTTGTTTGATATTTGATCAAATTTGGCTTGAAGATGTAGGGTAGTATCAACTTGAATGAGTTTGCGAACCAGCATGATCGAACCATGGGAACGGGGGTTTTATGGGGTGAAATAGGATTTTTTCTTATTTTGACCCCCAAAACATAAAACTTCCCAACTTCTCTAAATCATTTTAAAGAGAGAAAACAAATAATTTAGTGCTGTATATTAAAGTGTTTTTGTACAGTTATTGGTTATAGAAAAAAAAATTAAAAAATCATAATTTAAAATGTTCATGTTATTTAATTTTATGGAGAATAAGTTAACTGTTATAGTTTGCTTGTTTATGGATTTATTTTGATCAGACTTGGCAAATTTATTTATTTTGTACTAAGATATTAATATTTTTAAATAAAACCCCCACTTCATTACCCTCCCTGTAGCAGCAAACCTAGGTACTTGTTAAATATAATGTTATTTAAATAGATTTAATTGGAAATCCGATCAGGCATATGGAAATTCGCTTAGTCTGCAGGTTTGCTGCGGCAGGAGTATATGTTTTGCATAAAGGTTGTTTAAATTGTTTTTCAAATACCAAGTAATAATCGGCTATTTACTACAATGCACCATCTCATACAGCAGTTCTCTTTGGCTTTAGTCGATTTATACAAGACTTTATTATTTAGGTTTAAAGCAGTAACCTTGGTGATAAACCAAAATCGAGGATGAATGAATACCGGATAACCGAGGTTTTAGTGCTATACTACAATTCTGTCGTCTTTTATAGACTGTTATATCTATTACCTATTATCTATCTATTATCTATAATCTATTATTGACTCTTAAAAACTGTTGTGAGACAGTTAGTTATGGTATGCATGTTGCAGTTTTACATTAAAGATGTCTTGTTTTCATTTGATTTTTTCTTATTTAAGATTTTATAACTATTAAAGTTCTGTAAGCTTTTGTTATTTTCTACACTCTTTTTGTATCGACTTTTGTAATAAATTATTAGTTATTGCACTTTAAGTTTTTGTTTTATTATAGTTTTATTGTTATTTATTAACCATTGTAAATCTGCGCATCGAATATTTTCCGAAATTAATAAGATCCACACATATCTATAACATACATGTATCCAATTTTTGTTCAATAAACAAATTGATTAATTGATAATGTTGTCTCGATCTCGTCTCGAATTATGATGAGAAAATAGAATTTTGTCTCAAACTCAAAATCCAGTCTCGTCCAACCCTGTTAAACAGTTATGTATACTTTGGACAAATGTGCCATGTGTAGCAATCTTAGTGTTTGATTTTTTTATTAGAACAACTTTGGAAATTGAGAGAAGAATTCTGATATCTGATATCGAACCAGAGTTGTCAAACTGTAACAGAAAACATTATCGTATTTTCAGAATTAACCTTTTTTTTACATATAGAGAAAAAATGAGTGATTGTGTTTTTGTACAACACTATTTTAATTTAACTGAGGAGAATATCGCAAAACTAAGCTGTACGCAATAGAGTTTTGCTCCTAAAATAAATTAAATATATGTTAGCATAGATAAATGGCATCTGGGTCTGGTAAAGATCTCACTTGGAATCAAACCAGAGACTAGAAGATTAAAGGCTAGCAATAATGTTTTTGAGCTATTAAATGCCAGTTTGAGTAGGAAATTTATTGATCATTAAAAAAGTGACATTATTAAATATTATGATTTATCCTAAACCTAGCCAAACTGTAACAATAAAATAAGTATCCATAGAGACGGATCATTTTCATTATTTTGAGAATTGCCAACACAAGCTAATTTCTTTTACTAATAATTCTATTCTACTTTTTTGACACGTAAGTAATTACAATGAGTCATATACTTTCTATTGCGGTAGGTGTAGGTGTTGGGTTGGCAGTTAATTGGCTGTTGGACCAAGTGATGGGACCTCCTCCTCCTCCTGCTGCTGCTCCTCCTGTGTTAGGTGGGGCAGTAGCGTTTCACGGCCACCCTCAAGCAGCCGGGGGGTAAAAGAGCAGGGACAAGTGCGGGGGTATGGCAACGACAAGAACAGAAAACAAGAACAAGAACAGAAAGACCCAGTAAGGGTAAATACCCCCGCCGCAGCAAACCTGCAGACTATTTAACAAGCCACGCCTTAAAGCTAAAGCTACCTGTAAAATGAGCATAAAATTTGTGAGCCGCTAAATGATCAATGGAGTCATTACTTGGAACTGTAGAGGATGGAGAAAAAGCTGAGGAACAAGAGACTGCTGAACAACGATTGAAACAGATCACAAATGGAGGATTGACAAGATAGAGGAGGATTGACATCTTGATCAAGGACTTGAATCCAACTATGAAAAAACATAATTTGTCAAGGTAAATTAAACCAAGAAGACGAACAATGAATTTTGCAAGACTTGTAATGATGACAATTGCATGGAAAATCCAAACCTGCTCAGTCTGTGAACGTGAGACCTACACCAACACTCCAGCTGAAGGGAATCTAAACATGTTTAAAGAAAATAAACGTTGATACATTGTTCCTTTAAAATGTGTTTTATTGTGCATAGTATTTGGACCCGAGCAACAGGGTTCTCTGCTAGTTGGAAAAAAATGGAATGGAATGTCCATGTGCAGGACCCATGATGTTAAAGGTTTTTATTAATGATCAAATAAATGACTCGGGGATTTTATTTTTTAAATGTTTTTCAGACAAACAGAAATATTGTATAGTAAAAACTGAAAGTATAACATAATAATTGGAATACATGACCACGCTTGTAGCTAAAACTTCCGACCTAGTGACATTGTTTTGCTTCAAATTAGTATTGTTACCTAATAATTTTTGAGAATATTTGGATGTCAAGCATGGTGCATTTGTGCCAAAGCAGAAAAGGGAGAAATTTGACGTTAAGTCTGAAGAATGCATAGTGGTGGGATATTGTGAACATTCTAAAAGGATATCACCTCTTGTCATAAAGAATTAATAGTGCTGCACCCTGTTGGTAAACCTTATAACCTGTTAATGCTATTGAATATCATAGAACCAACTTGTGTAGTTGAAACAGCTGGAAAAATTCTTTAATTCCTTTTAAATATGAACGAGGTGTTAAGTTAGCCCGTCCTACGTACGGGAATTCAGTAGTCAGTTAAAACCGTGTACAATTCAGATCAGCTAGTTTACACATATAAAGACAAAGTTTCTTGCAGTTTTAATGTAAAAAATCATCTTGTAAACAAATGTTGTGTGACCAAATATGTATTTATTCCATCATAGGCCTATATGATATGAATTTAAATCCGATAATTTTACAATAAAACAGCAATTCTGCAATTTTTACGATGTGAAAAGCGTTGAAGTGAGATTTGCAGCCGATTCGCACAGACGCACACTGATTATAAGTAGCCTACAGTAGAGAGAGTAATAGCTGTAATAGTCTATTGAGAAGTGTATAGACTTAGTCAACGATACTACCTTCCATAGCATACCTGCCTCTTCCATAATTATTATCACCACAATACAACTACTATACACAATTTCCAGTAGGTCTGAATAGAAACGACCTAAAATAAAACGATATCCAATAAAATTCACAGTACACATAAATTGTCACACCTATCCTTTAAATAAATTTCACTGCATTAATTGTTAAATAAATAAGTGTAAACAAAGAAAAGTAAGAACAATAACACTTTGTTTTGTAACAGCTGTTTGGTTCAAATAACATTCATTTGAAAAAAAAGAACTTACGATTACTAAAAGAACTGGTCACATGTAGCATGAATATAAAAAGTAAACACGCTAGTAAAGCTAATGACGTAATTGTCAATGTTTATTATCCATACCGTTATCAGTTCTATCCTTAATAATTACCCACCCTCATTGAATAAGTGTACATCGTAATTTCCCATATTAGTTAATTTAAACTACAATATATTCATAGTTGAAATAAAAGTGATATTTTCACGTTTGCGGGCGCTGATAGGCACCCCCAAACGTATAACCACACTAAACACGATTTCATAAAAGGATGGTTTGTCTAATTATTGTAGTATCCTAGGTCAATGTTGACGTTGTGTTCAATCTTTGTATAAAACTCGGCTGAGGTTGTAGTGGTAATTTAAAATCGTGATTACTGATTATTCTTGATCTTCTTATTATGACATCAATATTTCCGGGCCTAATCCAAACAAAGTTAAAGCAGACAAACATTAATTGTAAACAAAGAGCTACCATGAAGAATTAAAACATGTAAACATTGTTATTTTTCTATTCTTTCCTCGAAACGTGGAATAGTAAAATAATTGGCATTTATCCTTTTTTATTAAGATTCGTGTACAGAGCCTCGATTTGTACTGTGGTTTAATTAATTTTGGTTAAAACTGTGGTTTAGACTGAGGTCTAATTATCTCTACTAATCTTACTTATTTCCTATAATCAATGACAAAATAAGAGTAAATAAAATAACCTCATAGTTCCATAGTTTATATTTAACTAGCTGTTAGTTAACAAAATTATATTGCTCTAAAACAAATCAAAGATTACAAAGATTGCTTTAAAAAAATAATTTGAACATCCTAGTATTTTACTATGTATAATTGAATTAATCTGTCATCCTCTTACAGAAGAATTGAACGTATCAATGATTTGCATTACACATAGTATAAATATGTCAACCCTAAGTATGTCTTTACATTTTTATCCAAATGCTGAATTTGTGACACAAAAGTTGAATGTTTACAGCTGTTATGTTAAGCAAACTATTTTATGCCAAAAGCCAGTTTAGAATCTTAGCGTCGGCTGCTAGACTTTAAAAAATTTAAACTTAATTTCTAAAAAACTGGGACCCTAAACTAAATTTATGGCCTCAACATTCCCTAGTTCTCAAAATTATCTTACTTTCAACACAAAAATCATGAAAATCCGTCCAGTGGTTGATTCAGAATCGTGAAATAAAAAAAAAAACACCGTTTCGTTTTAATGTTATAGAATACTCATAAGGTTATCATGAGAAACTCTAGAGCCACTGGGGAGGAGCCCGAAAGGATTTTTGGGATAAGAATGTGTCTATATGTTAATCGGGAATGTGAGCTATCATCATACCAAATTTCAACCCAATCCGACCAGTAGTTAATGCGCGATTGAACTTCAAACAAACAAACACACTAACTTTCACATTTTTATAATATTAGTATGATTAGATTGTAAATAAAATTGTGATAAAAAAAATCTAGAGGGAATGTTGTTATTGGATTAATTTAAAGAAAGATATAGCTGTATTTATTAATGGTTTAGTTTCCTAATGACATTTTGTTTATGTTGTGTGAGTTTCATAAGTGTGAAGTATTCTAATAATAAAAGTTGAGTTTTATACGAAAAATGCTTATTAATAACAAAAACATGTAATAAATATTACTTCGATGATTCGTTTGGAGATCAGTGGTGTCAACCAACAAAGAATTTTGAAGTAACAAGTCTACAAAGTTGACCGGGTGTCTGCCGAATAAGTCACGCCTTCATCTGTGTCAATGCAATTTAGGTGCTGAGCTTAAATTGCATTACACTTTTTTAAGGCGATGTCCACATTTTATTTATATTCGCTATAAAAAATCAAAGATATCTGCTCAAATTTCTAGGGATATATTACAATAATTTATAGTGTTAATATTCGTAGACTAACGTATCTATTTGCAAAGACAGTTAATATAGTAATTCCTTCAAAATCAAGGCTGTCCTCGCGTTTTTTGAACTTGACGGCTTCCAACTAATGCTTTCAGCTAATGTAGAATACAATTTGAAATCTGTAATCTTTCATCTATTGGGAAACCAAGCAGATAAAAAAAACAATAACCTTTTTTGTAAGTAATTTAAATTTGGTATTTTACAATATGCAGTTACTGGATTGGATTTTATCTATCTAACTAAAATTGATTGTAAATAGCATACTTATTTATCAACTAAGGTGAACCAATAAGCTATTAAACATTGAATAGAATTGCTATAAACATGGATTTTTGTTTACGAAATCATTTCTAATTTTATTTTAACAAAGCTAACACTGAATACCGTTTAAAAAACTCTTAAGCCAAGAAGAGCAACGCGGGTTTCAGACGACAGGAGAAGCCGCCGTACTCGTACATAGCGCTCATATACATGGCGATAGAGAGCTCGCCGTCAAAGAGGCTCACACTCAACGAAATCTACACCTTTCTACAACACTTCGCCTTCTTCCGCGGCGCTTACCAGGGCTGGAAGAACTCGGTCAGACACAGCTTGTCTCTCAACCAATGTTTCGTGAAGCTGCCCAAGGGTCTCGGACGTCCGGGGAAGGGTCACTACTGGGTGATCGACCCGTCATCCAAGCCAATGTTCAAGGACGGCTCGTTGCGACGCCGACCCAGGGGGTTCTGCCGTCGTCAGCCACCGCCGCCTCAGCGCCCCCAGTACTACAGCACTGCCCCAGTCATGCCGCAGTACGACACCTTGTCTACACACCAGCCACAGGAGTACCCCATGAGCCACATGAGTCAGCAGTACCCCACAGCTGCCTACCCTCCCGGGTACCCCTCGTACCCTCCCTGTGACTCCTGGGGTACCTACCAGGACACCACACCTTACATCAAGACTTCCCTCAGCCCCACGCCCGACCACCAGACACAGATGGACTCTTTCTCGTATCAGTTCTCAGTTCAGCCTTCAACCATAGATAAAAGGAGTAACTACCTACTTCTACTTCTTTAAATCTATGCTTCAACGTCCGTCTCCTCCTCAGCTGATCCCGCTGGTAAGTCTGATTGTGATTTTTTTTTCTAACAGTTTGTGCAATGCAAGAGTAAGTTATTACTGAAAATCTAGCTTAATCCTATTGCGCACGTACAATACGTTTCACGTCCCACATAAAACCAGATATCTAACAACCACTACAATGTTTCCTCATTACAATGTTCACAATCACTACAATATTTAGGAATATCATAGGCCTATTCACTTCCCTGAGTTCCTCTCGGGCTACACCCCTTGGAAGTTCAAAGTTTTGAGGTAAGGTTTTCAAAAGTAGGCTAAATATTAATTGGTCTCCATGGGAGCATGAGAAAATTCACAACCTTTGTTTACCTTTGTGTTGACAATTCTATGTAAACAATCAAAACTGTTGAATGCTTATTTGACAACTTCAAACAGCTGATCCAAACAAATTTAATCAAATATTTTACACATTTATATCTAAAACTATGTCATTGGTTATGGAATTAAAGAAAGATTCTATATAACCGTAAGTCATGACAATTATGTTATCGATACATTTTAATGTTAAGAGTAAGACAGTTCAATGTAGGTCGTACTTTTTTGTATAAATTTGGTGGCTTTTGTTTATAAATTCGAACTACTTAACAACTGTTTGGATTATTCGGTATAGTATATCTTCCCGTTGCGAAGCACGGGTACAGAGCTAGTTTTTAATAAAAAGTGTGGTCAGGTCACGTTGTTACAGCAGCCGAACGATAGCAACAATCTGTTTTTACCAGCAATATGTACAGTAGTAAAGCTTCAATATTTTATAGCATTTCCAATACTGATTGATTTATCTGAGTATATGATGCATGGTACAGTTGAATTAGTTTATTGTATTTTAACGAACGTTATTGACGAAATCAAGTTACGCTTGAATGAATGGGATATTTCATTTTTCAGCACATTTATTTTGTATGTTATTTAATTTATTTTCTGGTTTACACCAATTGACGACGTTTAAGTTCAAATGTCTTAGAAGATAAATATTTAATTACTTAAAATGCGTTTATAATTTGGGATTATTATGTGATTTTCAATTGAATAAAACGTAACTAATGTATATCAATTTAGAAACTTTTGAACCATACTTTGGTATTCAAAATAGGTATTTTTCTGACAGGCAGGTGAATTTTTATATACATTTTTTGGATCTCAAAATAAAATTGAAATATTATCGCATTGTTCTGCAAAGGTGCAAAGGTTCAACTCGTCATTTTCTGTTTCATCTTTGTTATCTCGTGTTTCCTTCCAAATGGAATTTTTCTCTACTGTATTAATTAATCTCGTTAAATATATTTTTCAAACGTTAGACAATTTCATAATTTACACGAATTAAAAACTTTCAAATAGACAATACTTAAATATTAAATAAATAGCGTAAAATATCAAAAACTAAGGTTGGATGAAAACACATCTATATAGGCCTAATTATAGATATAAATTTTGATTATAATTGTTTTTGTTTGGTATATCAATTACTCGTTTAACTCAAACTTTGCTATGCAGTTATTGGCAGTTATGCTATGGTACCGCAGTTATTGGCATATATGAATTGTAGTTGGGTGAGGGGGATGTTGAATATTGCAACCCAACTCATCTAGTCTGGATTAGTGATGGACCATCATATGTTTTTACATTTTACATATGTTGTTTTTTACTCAATATTTTCAGTGTTGTGTTTGTAAGAAAATAAAAGAGTTGATAACAATTAATTCTTTCACTAGCTGGCTCGACAGACGTCGTCCTGTCCTAGTGTGGATTTATGTCAAATCCTCGTTCATTTTCAAGATGAGTTCGTTCGCATGGCTCAATCATGTCCTGGTTGAAGTGCTTTCGCTACGCTCACTCACCTTTAGGTTGGAGCTCGTTCGCTGCGCTCACTTGCCTTCAGGTTAGCTCGTTCGCTACGCTAACTCGCCTCCAGGTTGAAGTTCGTTCGCTACGCTCACTCACCTTTTGGTTGCAAGTTAGCTGTTCTCATAAATTGAAAAAATATATAGTGCTGCACCCTGTTGGTAAACCTATTAACTTTTTAATGCTATTGAACATCACAGAATCAGATAGTTTAGTTGAACCAGCTGTTAAGATTCTTTAATTCCATTTAAATATGAGTACTCATAAGGTTAACATGGGAAACTCCAGAGCCACTGGGGCGGAGCCCTTTTGACGGATCTGCACCAAACTTCACACAAACCATCCTTGAATAATGCTTAATAATGCCTGAAATTTTCATTACAATCTGTCGAGCGGTTTCGGAGTCCATAAAGGACAAACATACAAATATACAAACATACAAACATACATTGGATTTTATATATATAGATTAACTTTAATTTCACCAAAAGTAATACTAGGTGGCGTTCGCAGAAGCATCCACAAAATTGAGCAGAGTCATCAAGGGTACATCACACTTGTAATAATATTCTAAACTTAACTGTTAAGGAATATTTACAATTATTTATCCTTATGGCATTCACTTAAATTATCATAGTATACGGTAGGACTTGGTATCATATTTGAAGCCGAATGAAGCATAGTTTGCAAAGTAAAAGATGAATTTATTGTTTTATATGTCAACCAAAATTAGGTGTAGATATAAACATTAACTATGGCATCTTTTTGGTTTCGCAATAATTTGTTTAACGCTTAAACTTCACAATCACTTTAAACTTCTGAATATCCGTAAATCATTAGATATTTGGGTCCACGTGTGTTTGTTCTTGTCGAAGCTCCTTCTGACAGCACTGTAATGACTCTTGGTCCATCCTATTGTATTCGTGAGGCCAGATCTGTTGAAGAAGAGTCCTCGATGGTGCCTCGATAGAAACATAGGTCCTCCGCTGGTGGCCAAAGATCTCAAAATGCTACTACTTCGTGGATTATTGTCTACTTGTAGGTCTGTAACGATCACCAGGTGTAGCACGAGCATGATTGCCACCTCCATAGGGTCTGGTGAGTTAGATTGCATAGTAGAACAGATATTTTCACCATACTTGAACAGGAGCTCACCTTGCTTTGCTCTGAATAAGTCATTGTGTTTGCAAGTATTCATTGTGCGAGCGCCGCTTGTCAACTGATCAGGCTTATCTTTGAGATCTAATCGCCAGTCAGAATATCAAGACAGAATTGATTATTTCAGTTACTAATATTGTAATAATATAGTTCCAAACAAATGCAGTAAGACATAACATAATAACATATTAACGTCAAATTTCATCCATACCGACAGACACTGTGCCAACGCATTTCCTTTTTTGAAACGACAGCGTAAAACGAAGTTTTACACACTAACTTACACATTTACTGTAAATAGACTGTTGTAGTACCGTTTGAAAAATGCATAATATTGAGAAATAATATCACACACGATTTCTAGTATTTACATCTAATTCTATAAGCCAGTTTTAGCAATTGAATTGAGAGTCATTGTGAGGTCACAGACACACTCTAGGAGCTGGGTAGAGTCTCAACAAGGACTTACCGGTATGTAGTTAAATATTTTCAACTTTGAACGACCAAAACCCAAAGCCCAAATTATTATTGTCAAGGGGCTTGCAAACTTTTAAAAGTTCTGAGTAATACTCCCAATGGCCAGAAATGGGCTCCAGGAATATTTTTGTAAACAAACTGAATGTCACGTGATAATAAGCTGCGCTACCATTGGTCGGCAGCAAATGACCAGTTCTGCTACAAAAGTCGGAATGGAAAAGGCGAGTATTGCTGGAACCGCTAAACCGCTGGAGGGCTCTAAACCATTCAATGAAATGATTTTTAAATAACAAATAGCCAGTTTTGACATAAACTGAGCACACGGTTTGGTGTATTGTCTCCCATAGAATAATAAAACGTCAAAATCTCAATTTTGAAAAAAAGTGTCACTTAGCCAGTTTCACTATGACCCACCTCAATAATTCATTTATTTGGCCAGATTTTGATAAATGCGTTGGATAAGTCAGAAATAGATCATAAAAAATGCAATTTATCTTATAAACTATAATAACTTAAACTAAACAATAACAATTAATAAACAAAGCACACAGTTTATGGCATACAATAAACAAGGCAAATTTCAATACTTACTTATCAGCAAAGTCACCTCGCCTCAATCACGGCCGTGCCTCAAACATGGTCACTTTATCACTTTTAACTCCTGGCCGCTGCCTGGTAGAATTGGCAACGTTGCAAGTAGTGCTGTTTATATAGCGCTAGACGCATATAAACATATATAGTTTAGCATTAGATAGCATTAGTGTTTATATAGTGATTATATAGTGTTTATATAGCATTAGATAACATGGCAGACAGGTGACATCAGCACATTAATTAGCGTATTATCATAGACTAACCAACACAAAGTATGTTTTATCTATGGTATTATTCATTAAATGTTATGGACATATAAGATTGAAAATAAAAAATATAGAATTGAAAACCAAAACAATAAAATTGAAAATCTATTTCTGTTTATTTTAAATGGAGTCAATATTTTCATAGCCCAGTAACCATTAACCAAGCTTTCGTATTCTTAAAAAATACACAAATAATACCATTAGCTGCCTCCAAACAAAACAGCTATTACGACACTTCTTGCGACGTTTCTACTTCGAAGGACGCGGCCTGGGGCCCATTTCATAATAAAGTACAAACTAATATTATTAGTAAATCAGCTGATTGCCCAATGCAAATCTAATGGAAATAACAAGTTACAAGTTGTAACTTGTAACTTGTAGTTTTTTATGAAATGGGCCCCGGAGTTAAAGGTGGCCTTGCCTCAATACAAATAACAATTACATTACAAAATATATTAATTTTATAGATATTAGTATTTCGTCCTATCTATTATTTGTTATTTATCCTATCCATTATTTTTATTTATCAATCATTTATGCTTATCATTAATTCAATATATAATTTATATATAAATATCTACAACACAAAATAAAATACTAATGTACTAGTTGTAGATTTTGTATAAAGTGATAGTATAACAAAGTTTAAGAATCAACCAAAGAAAGAGAAATTGAAAATAAGGTTTTTTGGGGTTATGGGGTTTTTCACAGTTGCATAGTCAAAAATTTAGCTACACCTATGCCTAGGAAAAGCCAAAGAGCCAACGTCAAACTGGTGAACTGGTCAACTAAAACAAAAACCCAAACATTCAATCAATCATAACCCTAACCTAATCTCAATCTTTTCGTTTTTCGAAATGACTTCAAAAATATGTTATTGATTGCTTTGATAACATCATTTTTGTTTGTACAGTAAGAGTTTCAGTTGTTTTGTTACACATCAATGTGTTCGTCAATTTAATCTTTGGCAGTATTTTAAGGTTATTGTATTATTATTTTCATCTATTGCTTGGTGTCTTACAAGGATTCATTTTCATCTAGCTTGCCTACACTTCACAATCAGAGTTACTATGTTTTCTATATTTAAAGACAAATTGCAGTCTGTACAAGATAATATAACTACAAGGTAATATTTTCCATGGGTACAGTTTCTTAACTGGGCTACGCTAATATCGATTGAAACTATCTATTCGATTAGTAAACCTTCATGCGATTTTTTCACCATCAGCAAGTTTGGTTGGTTAGGTTGGGTAATGATAGTTTAATTTTATAATAGATATATTTTAAAATATCGCTTTTTAATCAATATTTTAAATTCGATAGTTCGATATTCGAAAATTTGATATTAGCGTAGCCCAGTTAAGAAAATTTGTACCCCCAGCTGATTATAAAATGAAACAGTTTTAAACTTAACCTAACCTTAAACCAAACTGCAGTAAGGCCTAAAACTTATGTGAGTAAACGTAGGACATAAACTAAAGTGCAGCCCTGGTTATAGCCTACGCCTAGGGTTACCATACGTCCGGATTTTGTACGGACAGTCCAGACTTGAAAAATGTGTCCGGATCTGAGGAATAAACAACAGATAAGGTGGTAAAATCGGGAAATGTCATCCTCTGACAGAACAAGGATTAATAAGTTAATCAAGGTAATAGTTTGATAGCTCAAAATAGCCCAATACCGCCAATTCCAGGGTCTAATTTTAAAAAAATTCTTCGCCGGGGGGGAGGGGGGTATTTTTTTGTTTTAATCTTCCCCCAGACCCCTTGATTTGGCTGATGTCCGGATCTAGGGTCAACAAACTATGGCAACCCTACCTGTGCCTCGTTAACAGATGGGTGAAACACACCCTATGTATAACCCTACATGTTGCACTTCCTTGAAATTTACGAGCACTATGGTTACCCCTAATGACTTATCAAACTTGGCTCAACTAGCATTAAGTTTATACCTAGGCCTACATCAATCTGTATAAGCTATAAGTTAAATATGTTTGTCTCTGGTTTTTTTTTCAGTTTTCGAGTGTTGAAAGTATCTGAGCCTGTTTCACCCAAATCTCCAAAACAGACTTTTGATGTGAATGCTGGTGCGGAACTTCTTCACAAATATCAAGCAGAATGGGAGGAAATGCACAAGTTAGCAGAGGAAAATGCTAACATAGCAAAAGTAGGATATTAAAACACATTTTCTTTGATTGTTGAATTTGAGATTCTGTAGTTCTAAACTACCAATATGAAGTTGGTATATTCCAATTATGTAGGCTAAATACAAGCTGGTACCAACTTGTAAGAACAATTCATTCTTCATCTTAGCAAACTGTGTTTCGTTTTAGGCCTAATTGTTTGTCTATGATACAATCATAGGCCTACTGGTACTGTTTATTATATTTATGACCCAAATAAATTCTGCCCTGATAAACTTATATATTGGATACATTGTCTTATAATGTAGGTCATATTGACTTGTAAAAATCAACAAATTTTAGGAAACATTGGAACACGCACAGAATACCACAAATTCAGTCTCCCGACAGCCATCTTTAAATTTGGCAAGGACCATAGAAATCTAAGCCTCATAAAAATCATAATGTATACTTTTTAACTAAGCCTCTACCATATCTGGAGCAACGAGAAAGAACAGTTACATTTGTATTCTACTGTCATAAAAAATGTTACAGTAACATTTCCTATCATAGAGTAAGATAAAAAATAGTAAGATTTCATTGAGTAAAGTAGCTATGGACTTGGTAAAGCCAACATCTTAACTTTTGTATTAGAGGTCGAGGGTTGAGGTCAAGGTTTGTGACTGATGGGTGTTTGTATCCCCCCTTCCAAATAGCATTTTAGAAAATTGGATAAAATAATTGGAATAATTTTGTAAAATGAGGTGAAAGAAAAATTATGCAATTCACTACAACACATGATTATTAGGCCTTATTTAACTGCAATTTAAATTCCTAATTGTTTGTTTGTTTGTTGCAATTAATTGTTGTTTGTTTGTACAGAAAGTAGATGATCGCATTGGTCATCTACATGGAGAGGTCACCAGGCAATGGCAAGGAATGACTCAACTTGCAGCCGCACTGAATACAGTCCCTTCTCTGTGTTCTCGAACAGACCAGATTATATGTCAAATAGGTATGTTAGATCTGTGCTTGAGTGACAGCCAAAACAAAATAATAATAACATTACTATTTGTCGCCAGAACAGATAATAGTTTTTTTTGCCTTATTTAGAGAAAGGAGGGTTTGTCACTTCACCTTAGAAAGTACCCTACCACCATTTAAAATTATGGGTCTGGTAGCAGCTCTTTTGGGAAGAATAATGATTCCATTTTATATAAGATGTTTTATGTGTAGACTCCAATGTTAATCCTTTGGATGTCTAAGTGAGTATACTCAAGGCAACACTAAATAAACAGGCTGTAATGCTCCTTAGGCATGACGTTATCGCAGGCGACGGCAATGACGTACCGGTAATGTTATTTTTTAAATTATATTTTTGTTTTCCAAGAAAAGATTAAAACAAGCAACTGATCACAAACGGCAAAAATTACGTCATTGCCGTCGCCTACGATGACGTCATGCCAGAGGAGCATTACGGCCTGTTTATTTAGTATCGCCTTGGTATAGGCCTACTCAAGCACCTTGCACACACTTTTATAATTGGGGGCTATAAAACAAGCAATTGCCAAGACCGCCATTATAACCTGTCAAAGTTTTGCTACATGGAATAGGAATTCATGTCTGTTGCGTGTTGACCGTAGCAACATATGGTCAGTATTTATCAATAACTAATTCTTGTAATTTAAGTTGGCCTTTGTTCAATGAGGCCATAGCAAAATCCTTTTTGGCCAGCTTTTGTTTTTTTTTTACACTATTTGTAGGCCTACACTTAAAGTGTCAGCATTTTTTGTTTGTTTCATGATTCAGCTGATCAGTTAATATACTAAGCATAACTAGCGTCTAGACTGCCAGTGCCAGTGCAACTCCGAGTATCGTGGATCAGATCACCCCCCACCACCGCACCATGTCGTACGCTTCCGAATCATGCCGGCGCATCAGCATAGCCTAACTGTTCACGGAAAATTGATATCTCTATCACTGTCGCTGTCAAAACGTATAGTTTATAGGTTAAATTTAAATTTAAAATAATTAAACTGTCATAACCTAACCAAACGTGCTGATAATGAAAAACTCGAATGAAGGTTTACTAATCGAAAAAATAGTTCTGTTCTAAAAATAAAATTATAAATGTCTCAAATTCAAGTTTATAATTTTTAATGATAAAATTAAACTGTCATAACCTAACCAAACCAACCAAACTTGCTGATATGAAAAAAATTGTTGACAAAAAGTTAGTGCAACCAATAGTTCTGTTATAAAAATAAAATTATAATAAATGTCTCAAATTCTATTTTATAATTTTTTAATTATAAAATTAAACTGTCATAACCTAACCAAACCAACCAAATTTGCTGATATGAAAAAAATTGTTGACAAAAAGTTAGTGCTACCAGTGGGATTCGAACTCGGCACCTTTCGATTATCAGCCCGACACGCTATCCACTACACCACCAAGGCTCATGACATAGCTCCTTATCGTTGCGGTAATGGTTGACGCCATGCCATCGGCACGGAGCGGTGGTGGGGGTTTTCAGATCTGATCTACGATCCTCGGAGTTGCACTGGCTGCCTAGATGCTTATCTAAGCATATGGTAACCATGTCATCAAAAATATAAATATAAATATAGCTCTCCAATATATCAAGTTAATAAGGGAGCGAGCTGGTCTACGGGTAGAGCACGGAGCTTTGGAGCCCGAGGTCCCGGGTTCAAATCCCGCCAATCACCAATAATTTGTATCCATGTGATAATGCGGCAACTCTCCATGACTAGCCTGAAGTAATGTGTAAAACAGCTCCAGGCTAGAACCTAGCGTCCTAGCATGCTAGGATGTGAAAGTGGGACTAAAAAATATATTAGTTAGTAATGCTTCATTGGGTTGTAAAGTTGTTCACTTACATTGAACTCCCTTTCCAAAATAATTACATATCAGCCGCTTGACTCTCCAAACAAGTACTTAAATAACAAACTAAAAAAAAATCAACTAACAAGTTCATTACATATTTTTTCCATTGTTTTGTTCTTATAATAACTAATGTTGTTTGTGTATAGAGGATGTGCAGCGTTTAGTTGAGGAAGTTGAAGCATCGTTACTTCACCTGGCGGACATAGTTGAGCTGAAAGAGCTCCAGGAACGCCAACTTGACAAACGTTTTCAACTGGCGATTCATAGTGAGAAACGATTGGCACAACTAGACTCTCTTAGAGGTAAGATACAACACCAAACTGGAGAAACCTTCTAGTTGGGCTTCAGGAGTGACTTTTGTCACCAGTCAATGACTTGGACACTATTTGTTGAAACTAAATCGCAAAGTTGCATTGCTTTAAGTGAACACGGGCAACCCTCCCCCTAAATTTCCGGCAGGAGTCTCATGTCTATTTGAGTACTGTAATGTAACTATAGAAATATATTTGAACATTATGAAACTTGGATTTAGGAAATGTGGCAATAACGTAAATGAGAAACAAAAGAAAGAGTTATTCTATCATTTATGGTTCAACACAATATTGTTGGAACTAAATCAGATACATTCATGGTTCAATGGAAACCACAAATAACTGCAAAGGATGCGCTTTGATTAGATAAATTAATATTCTGTTACGGATAAAATTGGGATTCTCTTTTTTAAGGCATATAAGTTTATTGCAATACCGTAAATGAAATACTATTCATTTACATACAATTAATTTTCCATGTATCCAATTTTGCACCTGACATTAGTAATTGAACGTTGTGTCAACTTAACAGTGAATTTCTCTAACATTCATTAAAATTTATGTTTTACAGCCAAACTGTCAGAAGAACATAGACACAAAGTCTTACGGTATGAAAAAGAATTCGAGAAGAAACAAAAAGAAAGACAGGAAACATTTGGAAAGGCCTTTGAAGATGATTTGGAGACTTTCAGACAAACAGGAGTTGTTCCTACCATTAGTAAGTATTACTATTTATTATACCGGTACACTTACACTTACCATATGGAACAATTCAAAACAATATAAAGCGTAGTGATGAGGACTAATAGTTACCATCTTGTGTGGCTAGACTGCACTAGTCATTACAACTTTTGAGGACACCTTACACTTTCAGGTGTGAAGATATTACAAACAAGCTGCTATATCCTTACTTTGCAACGGGAGAGGTATGTTGTAGGGTTTTTTTTTTTTTTTCCTAAGGACGCTAGGCACGAGCCTGGGATTGTTTTTCACATTACTTCAGGCTAGACCTAGGGGTTGCGGCATTATCACTTAGATAAAATCCATTGGTGACTTGGCGGGGATCGAACCCGGGACCTCAGGGACTGAAGTCCCGCGCTCTAACCACTACGCCAGCTCGCTCCCCTGTTGTAGGGTATGGGAGAAAGTAATAAGTTACCGTAACTATAAGATTTCATTTCGAAAAATACTCTTACTAAAGATAAAATTAATTAATTTAGGGTATTTAAACTGTCTAATTTATTAGGAAACATTCATTATTTAGGCTACTGAATTTTATAAATCAAACTCGAATCTTGCTTCCTTGCCCTATCGTATAACGTTATCCTGTTTGTTGGTGACTTATCAGATTGCATTAATCTTATTGAATTATCAGCAATACCAATACAATTAGCTGTTAATTATAATTTAAATTGGTCAAAACTTTAGTCTATAAAGGTTAATCTCGTCATCTCTAGAGTATTTAATTCTGGTCCCTAATTTTAAACTGAAAAGGTGGGTCTATATTTGTTAAGAGATTTCTAAACAAAACGCAAGTCATCGTTACTGTATGTCCCAACAGTTATTTTATGTGTATCCCAGTCACAGCAACCACATTATTCTATTAATATAATGATCTATTTGCCAGGGCCGGCCTCAGAAAAAAATTTCAAGTAAGCAAGATTCACATATCATGGTGGGGACTGGCTAAAGGAATGGCGGGGGTCCTCCCCCGGAAATTTTTTAAATTTAAGGTCTAAATGCACAGTTGTTGAGCCTCTTTGTCTCTCAATTTGATTTAATATTGATTTACTTGATAGGTTATATACTTGTTTGTACCTTAAGCCACTATTACGATGTTAGGCTTCGTAGTCACATTGCAAGTACTCTCAGAATAAATAGCAAATGCTGGAGCTGGAATCACCGTATGCCAGATCGGATAAATTGCATATCTCATGGGTGAAATAAAAATATCGGTGGTTACTGGCTAAAAATAGAAAACACCCGTGGAAGGGGAGGGAAATATGTCACAAACACAATCCTTCCCGCGTCCCGCCACACAGATGTAGACGCTGCTCTACTGACCTTGGACGTTAGTCAAGGGCATCAGGCTACTGTATTTCAGAACTCACTAAGGGGGGAGGGGTAGATATTTGGTTTTATCTTTGAAATCTTACTATAACAGTTTTGAGGCAATGTTCCTATTTTAAATATCGCTTCCCAAACATTTAAATCTATTTCTATGAATTTGCCAATTTTTTTACCAAGAATGACTTGCGGCTGCATATGTCGCACAACCCTCAGGCCGGCCCTGCTGTTTGCTCTTATAATTAATTATTTTCAAAGCAACCATCACTTATAATTTGGAGACAATAATTAAATAATGACTTATTCTTATTCACATATTATTAGTTGATTTGGAATTAGGAATCACGTTTCTATGTCACAGTAAATACTAAATATTCTCTAAATGGCCAAATACTTTTATAAAAGTAGGCTAGAGTAAGTTTGAAGTATATTTAAATTTAACTATTGCCAATTCCAAGAATATAATGCCAGTTTTGTTTGTTTTGATTTAACCTCAAAATTTGAAACGGATTTACACATGATTGCACAACAGCCAAAAAGGTTCATCTTCAAAGATATTCCACCACACCTTAACTGCTTCTACCTAAAAAAATCCAACTTTACTATGCATTCCATGTTTGCTCTTATAGCACTTTTAGAGTGTCTCCACTCTACAGATGTCTTTATAATTTCCAATGCTCAAACGGAATGACAAGAATGATTAGTTTATCAAAGTACAGAAAAAAACAAACCCCCCCCCCCTACCACTGTACCCCTTTGCTATTTTTTTTTAATTTAACAATTTTAGGGCCTTCTTTATCCACTGGTCCATCATTAGAAGAAGTTGAGCTGGATATTGATACAGAAGCTCTGGATCATATGTTAGAGGAGTGAACTCTGGTCGGAGCAGAAGAAAAGGACAATGCAGACTTCTTGGTCAAGTAGATTATCCCTTGGTCTTGCCTTAATCAAGTTTTTTCTAAATTTAGTCTTTCACCTAAACATTTAGTGTAATATAACAGTTTGATAGAATATGTTTGATACACAGTATTTATTTCATAAAAGTTTAGATAAACTTGCTTTTTAATCTTTGTTATTTACTGTAAGATTATGAAGAGAATTTATTGTATAGGGTTAGTTTTGCAGAACTTGTAAGATCAATATTCATACACGTATAGGGACCAAGAAAATTATTTTAAGGGTTTATTATTTGTGTTTGTCTAGTAATTTCATGGCAGCTCATTAAGGGAGGTTAGATTATACCATAGTTTGTACATAATTATAATTAACTTTTTATTTTAACACTAAGATTTATAGAAAGTATTTTACATTTAGATATTTTATTAAAATTGTAAGTATTATGTAACTTAAGTGCCTTGTGATTGTAAAAATATATACATGATCTTCATTATTTACTGTTACTACATGAAATTACTGTTTGATTTTGTTATTGGGTAATAAACTGTTCAAATGAGCTGAAGTTTATTCATTTTCACAATACACAAACTTAAGTCCAGTTAACCTTTTGAGCTCCAAAGGATAATACTAGCCTATATAATAAGAGAGCAGGCCCATTTTTATAAACGAAAAGACTGGGCATATGCCCCGGGGTGCTGAAGGTTTGGGGGCGCCCCTCAACCACCGCCTGCCCGCACTATGAAAAAATGGGGTACTGCTTTTGGGTTAGCCCAGGGCTCCACTGACCCTTAATGCTGCCCTGGAAGAGAGAGTACATAACCAAACTTTCACTTCCAACCATATAATTATGTAAGTATATTTTAAAAAAGGCTGAACGCTGCATTTGACATGTGCAATGATTTTAATTCTGTTACTATATTAGCACAACCAATAAAAATGCTTTTAGGAAAATCTATTATTGTCATTATTATTATTGCCTGTGAGTCAAGTTTAGAACTGCTGCTCACTTGGGATTTGGTTGGCGGATGGGCATACGGGAGGGACTATGGCTAAAGCTGTGGTGACGTCATATCTCTAGTAGCTTGTGTCTTCTCTTGAGGCAACACGATTACTGTAACGAGACGATGTGATTCCAACGACGTTCGTGGCATAGTTGATAGCGTTACGGACTGGTGTTCAGGAGGTCTCCAGTTCGAAACCAGCCGGGGACACTAACTTTTTGTCAAGGATTTGCTTTGAATGCGACTACTTCTTAACTGTACATCTTTTGTTAGAATTCGATGCATTTATAATTTTTTTTATGAACAGAACTTTTTTTTATAGTAAACCTTTATACGATTTTTATCTTGTATCTTTTTTATATTATCAGCAAGTTTGGTTGGTTAGGTTAGGTTATGACAGTTTAATTTTAAAATTAATTTTATAATTAAAACTTACAAGTAAACACTCATTTGATTTTTTTCTTAGGTTATATATTTTTTATATTATCAGTTATGACAGTTTAATTTTATAATTATAAATTATAAAATTAATTAAAATTTTTTCAACTTAGCAGTTCTAGCGGCGAACGCTGACACTACAAGATATATTTACTTTTTTACAAAATGTAAACATGGAAAATTTGGAAGCCCAAGGGAAATACGAAAATTAAATGATATAATATTGCATTGTCATCCATTTGTGAGCTATGTTTCAAGTCTCTAGCTCATCGGGAACTTTGTTTGAAATTGATATCAAGATTTGTAAGAAAATGAGCTAATAAAAACAAGCCTATGGGGCGTAGCCCAAGGGAAGTATGAAAATTAAATGATATAATATTGCATTGTCATCCATTTGAGAGCTATGTTACAAGTTTCAAGTGATCGCGGCATAATTCTGATCATCTCCCATAGCCGTGTACACACCATCATAGTTTTCCACAGTTGCGTATAAAGCGGTTATTTTCCGATTGCGCGAACTTTGCAAAAGTGTCTGGTATCTGTATCAGAATCATGTTGACGATCGATTCATGATACCAATGTACAAGTATCGAAAGTTGGTATCAAGAACCAACACATACCAAATATAAATATGTATTAATAAATTTTGGGGGGCAGCCCCTTCCCTGGATACGCCACTGTCTATGATCTAACAGTATGGTAGATCAAGCGGTCAAATGTTGAATCAGGTTTTTTTCTTCTTATCCAAGCCAGTGGCATACCACACATTTCTCAGGTCCGGTACGCAACTTAGCAAGAGGAGTGTTCATCTGTCTGGAAGAGGACCAACTGATGGAAATAAATGTTGCTGGGGATGAATAGAATCTCCATGAATTACAACTCAAATACATAAATCTGCTGCTTATGAAAAGAGTACTTTTGAAATTTTAAATTCACCATCTCTCTCTTTGTTTAAGAGACATGTAGTAGCGTGGCTTGTAGGACTGAGTTCAGAGGACACCAAGGCTGTTATCGCGTCGGGCTGACCTGACCGTTGACCCTACACTACAACACACAATCACTGATACACCACCTCAATGACTAACTAATACACAACCCGCCACTCCTCTCCGCTCAACCTATCACTTGATTTTTGAGAAGCACTTTAGATTCTACTTAGTTTCAGAGAAATATCGTTGTCCAGTTCCAAGCAAGACAACATTTATTTTCAGACGTGATAACAATCACTTCAAAAAAAAATCCCATTCACTAAACAAATTACCCGCAACTCATGTCTACGCACAGGCCCTGCCTATGTAGACACATTTCCATATAAGTTGATTAGGTATTTTTTTTTATCTCTTCGTGCCATTTAGTTATAATATTATTTTGTAAGTTATTTTTAAGACAAGGATTAAGTAATTTATTCTGTAAAATACCATGAATTGTACTTTTTAGTTGGGAAATAAACATAATTTCATTTCATTACTTTTTATATGGGTCTCTTTTATATAATAAGCTTCCTTTATGAAAAAAAAACAAAAAGGAAAGAAAGAGGTGGAATCATTTAAAAAGTTCCGATTACACTTGCTGTCTTACCTGTTACCTGTTAGACAATAATTGTTTTTACAGCATTGAGGAATCTTTCTCAGTCTGATTGTAGTAGACATAACTTATTTGTAAATTTTGCTAATAACCTAACTTATTTTGTACTTGTTGCTTTTATTCTATACTAGTACACAAACACAATGTATATTTTGATAATATACCTGCCTGCAAGCAGAAGGCCCTTAGGAGTTATGTGATGTATTTTAATAAATAAATAAATAAATTATACATTTTTATACTTTTTGCTTTATCATCAATGTGAGTGGGTGTTTTCCACTTAAAACTGGTTTTAACGAATTTTCTATAAATACAAGGATTAAGCTATTATCGTAGGTCTCTTGGAAAGACCTAAGTCTGGGACCGATTTGGTTTTTTTAAGTCCGCAAAGACCAGAAACACCCATCTGTTGTAAAACACTGTATGAATATATGTGTGTGTGCTATTATTACACCTAACTTTGGTGTAAAAATTATCCGTTTTTGATGAAATGTTGTACAAACAGGTGGACATGTTTATTCGAATGAGTTTGCAAACCAGCATGATCGGACTAAGGAAATGGGATTTTACAGGGTAAAATTTGGGTTTTTTAATTTTAGTCCCAGAAAACATTACATTTCACAATTTACTATTAAAACATTTTGTTTGAAAGAAATGATTTTGTTTAGACCTACTGTAGCGTTGCTGTAGGCTTAATATTTACAAAGGAAATTTCAAAAAACTTTACATTACATATTTCTATGTCATTCTTATGGAGATTAATTAGTATTATCAATGAATACAGAACATTATAATGACGCGAATTAAAAGAGGCTACAAAGATTGCCGCCAGCTGTAGTTCACAAAGACTTATGTAGGAAGAGCTAACAGCGCCAGCCGTATTCGTCGTGAACTACGGCTGGCGGCAATCTTCGTAGCGTCGCCTCTTTTAATATGACGGTTTCGCTTCTTTTATCGTTCTGTATTCATTAGTAGTATTCTTGACGTATTCAAATGTAAACAAATCTTTTCTCCATAAGGATAACATGGGAACTTTAAAGCCACTGGGGCAGAACCCTGATGGAATTACTTGTAAACACTTCTTACGACACACTTGGAGGTTTATTGGAACTTACATGCAAATTTCTGGGTTTTTTTGGCTTGTAGTTTTTGAGATATAGTGATCAGTGAGTAGTATTTGACTTTTATAAGTATAGATAAGTAAAATGTAGTTTCCTTATTCATGGATATATTTTGATCAAATATTGAACATTATTTGTTTATTTCATAATAAGAAGCTATTAAAATTTCACTAAAAACAGACTTTGTTACCTTCACTGAAGCAGGAAGCCCAAGTACTTTTTAAACCTAATGTAATTTAAATAGAAAATAGATCTGAAATATTTGTAAAAATATTTTGGTTAAAAATACAAACAGGCAAATGGAAATTCGCTAAGTATAGCCGTCAAAGGTATAGCCTACATGTTCGCTGCAGCAGGTGTATTAAATGATTATCATTTCCAGAAAAATGATAGGGGAAAAAATGGTTAAAATATGCATAGTTCACTCACTGAATTGGGTTACCCTCCATGAATTCAATAATCCATGAAGTTGCAAATGATATAAGTTTAAAAACCCAATGCAGCAGACTAGCAAAACACTTGAAAAAAATTGGAATGAGAAGAAAATTGGAAAAAAATTGGAACCTTACTCATTCCAAATTCACCATACGCTCAGAAGTTTGTATTTTAAAACACAGTTGAATTTCGGCATTAGTCATGAATGTTATCTGTCTGCTGTATCAGTGATGGAGATAACATAGTAACTGAATGTGTCCATAGCTTGGATAAAAAGTAACTACCTATTCAATATTTCAAATTTTGTTAATATAAACCACTCAACACTATTTTTACATTCTTGCAACAGATTCTTCGAAACAAAATGTGAATTTTTAATTTTAAATATTAACTTGTTCAGTTATTTGAGCAGTGGAAAACAGAGAAAGCAGTTGTATATGTGAGGTACGCTCGGAAAGTAAGTTCTGTTTCCCTTACTCCCTGAGGTAGTGCTGCGATCTCAGTTTAGCACATGCGCAGTAGTAACTCTGTGTCAACTGGAAGGAAATCACACCATTTTGAACTCGCTATTTTCGTCGTAGACTTCGTAACGCTTGTTCGTAATGGCTGCGTTAATTGAGAATACCGCCGATTGAGAAACTTGATCGGCGATTCGTTTTCTTCATGCAAAAAACGTTAAAGCAATGGACATTTACCGACAAATCTGTGAGGTTCATGGGGACAATGTAATGAGTGATGCAATGGTGAGATGATGGGTTCGACAATCCAAACAAGAGCAAGCTTTCCGAACTTACCTCGTAACTCAGACCTCAACTTTTGATTTTAACAATGATTGTTTTATTTTCAATTCAGCATTAACTCCTTAAATACTACAAAAGGGCTTGTTTCCACAATCTATACTCCAAACTTAATAATTTTTTTACAATCTTGTATTTCCCAGGTTAGCTTAAACCTTAATTTTGGATGTCACAAGCACATTTCACATCCTAAAAATTTAATTTTATTGCGATTCTGTTTCATGTGCAAATTTTCCTGACCTAAGGCATTTCCTCCTTAAGGCATTTTTTTCCTGAAGGCATTTGACTGAATGGTTTCCTCTGACTGAGGAGAAAATTACACAGACCGGAAAAAAACCTCTAGCCTGTTAAATTAATAAGCTGTAAAAATCTCACAAAAACTTCTTCAGTGTTTATCCCAGGTCTGCATGGTTTGTTTAATATGGACCATTACTGTTTGCTATATCCTGCAAATGTATTCATGTATTCCAGAATAATGAAAATCTTACATCTCAACTCCAGCCCAGTTAAAAAAGAACAGAATTAAAATAATTACAACAACTATTACTCCATTTATTTCATATATACAAATAAACAATACAGCCGCAACGAAAAGACAGGAAATTTATTGTTTAACGCAAAACTGAACGTAACATATTTTATTAACAAAGGACCATAAGTTAAATTGTCGATAACTCTAGCCGCAGTGTCAGGCAGGTAGACTTTTACTACAAGATACTGTTTGTGTCGGTTTACAAGTATCTTATCTTAAGCAGGTTACATCTATTATACAGGAGGCTTGTAGGACAGCTTGAACCAATGCCCGCACATACAGCGCTTGGGATGACCAGCGTGGAGCCACATCCATGAGATGGCTGGAGCGTCATCGTCGCATATACATCCGATGATTCTAGAGTCGAAAGCTGAGGGAATCTCAGTCGGACAGTCCTTGGTGCCCTTTTCCTTCTTCAATACTTTCAAATCGAAAGGATTCTGAAATAGAAACATATGTTTGAAATATGTCCACAATTGCAACCATAAGTGCATAGACTTATTGCTTACTCGCCAAGAATCTAACCTGTGTCCAGTACTCAGGCCAGATCAGCAACGATAGCAACACACCTAATCTATTAAGGATAAAAAAATATGGTTAAGGATTAGGGGATAAATAAGTTAAGTAGTTGTAATTAATAAGTTAGTGAATTGGCAGCTCGGTCGGTAGTGCGATAGACTGAGATTGGTGTGATTGGTGGTGCAATGTTAAAAGTTTGGTGCTGCCCCATCAGTACAGTTCATTCATGTAACTCATCTCTAGCTTGCTTTCCTTGATAAGATCCTTGTACAGGCCATTTTTCTTTTGTCTACATAGGCCTCTATGCGGACAAACGAAAAATGACAGCTAAACTCTTAAAAGAATGAATTTTAATTTATTATTAAAATATTAAGTAAGATGAATCGATGGTCAGTAATTCAACACATTATGAAGAAATATCAAGAAATCAGAGTATTCCTTCAGATGTGGTGTTGTCCATCAAGTTTGAGGTAAGCCTAGTCATAACATTTTAAAAATATAAAAGAAACTAGCCGTCATATCCGTGCTTAGAACGGGAAGAGAAGGCTAAAGGGAATAACTATGTCCAATAGCTGTGCTGTATGAAATAGTAGTTTACGCAGCGATCGTGTATGACACGAGTAGAAAGTTTAAGGTGCCCTTAGCCTTTAAAACTTTGCCTTTTTTTAGTGCCTTTAAAACTTCTACGAGTGTCTTAAAGGCTAATTACGCACATGGGTTGCATACACTACTTTTTCTACGACCGTTTTTTAATTACTAACAATCACTACTCATAACGTCTTAGAGACGGTATGTTTTTGCTTATAACCTGAACCTCTCATTGCCACTGATTGTGATGCATTTGACTCATTGTCCCAACCACTTAAACATTGTATAATCAATTAAATTGGCCTTAACAGCTGATAAGTTGATGTTTGAAGCATTACAATTTTACTTCTTTTCTCTCAATTTCTTGAACCTCAATGGTCAAAACTTGTACTGTAAAGTAACAAAACAATGCTGTTAAGTAAGTAAACAATACTGTTAAGTGAATCTTTTCAATTCTGAGAACTGAATTGAAAAGGCTACATGTTGTATGTTGTTTTTCCTGAATCACTGTGATATAATATATATGAGGTTAGATTACCTTAATCGCCAAGTGATCCATGGAAGTCCAAAAATAGGATTACACGCGTTTCGACGTCAATGCCTCATTGTCAATTCTTACAAAAATCTTGTCTAACCATAATGGTCACGTCACAGTCTTTCCGACACACACGTGTACAAAACACAATAACGGACAAAAATACATTTACGTAACTTAGGCCTACTAACTAATTTTTGGTACAAACGGTCGTCACATAGTACAGGTCTGATCGCATGCCGAGACTCAACTGATGGTGCACCGCTTCCTGGTTTATTATCTTGGACTTTGTCCTCTGCCTCCTGTATCATCTAGTTGTGAGCTCTTTAGTTTTATGAGGGATTCAAATTAATGCTAATTTAAAACCATTACACATTTGCAGAAAAGGACATAAATTAATCACATTTTAAATGAGATTTATAAAGCTACAAGGAACCAGCCTCAAAATTTGTTGAATGACAAATGTGTTTTCCAGTCAAATGCATTGTGTATAGCCAAACCAATTTTTTTTATAAAAGCACAGATTAAATAACAAATAGGCTTAAAATAATCTGATAAGCACATAGAGTACGTCTAATAACACATGCAATAATATATTTGCACTTAAACTGTTTACTCACAAGACGGTAAATACATATAAGAGATAGTAAGTGGTGATCGATTTCGATTAAACACTCCAATCACATTCGCCTATTGGGTCTGATGATGATTGGAATGTCCAATCAAAATCGATCACCACTTAGCATCTTTTAAATATGTAGACATACCGTCTTGTGAGTAAACAGTATAACTTAAGTGTAAATATATTATTTTAAGTGTTATTTGACGTATTTTACGTGCTTTCAGGTAATTTAATAACACGTACAATGCTGATCAAGAAGCTATTTAGCTTTAAATAATAATACAACAAATAATACAAGAAAACTAACCTCATTACCAGCTGTTTGAGCTAGCAACTCCCTCTTCTCCAGACCAGTTGCTACATTTAAAGGATCGTCAAGCACTGAAAATAAACCAGTCAACGTTATTACAGGAAAGACAAATAATTAAGAGTGTAAGACCTAGAAATGTAAAGGTAGGCTTAAAATATTCTGTAGGCCTAATGCATTAACTCATTTAAAGGCTCTTTAAATGGTTCCATTCTAGAACATCTTGTTACAAGCTAACTCAACAAATTATCTCTAGCCCTTTTATTTAGAAAAGATCCAACAGATAACCTGCAAATTATGTAACATATATTAATGTATATGATACATATGATAAATGATATGAGATATGATAGCCTACACACAATATCCTTAAAACATTACCAAGTTTCAGGACGTAAGGTAGGCCTAAACTCTTAATTTTCATTGTCTGGTATCCCATAGTCATGGTAACATGCTTGTGCTTGAAGTTTAGGCTTACATGTCAATTCAAACCATAGGCATGTTCCAAGGAGTCAACAAGAAACCGATATGAAGAAGCTGCCGAATTGTGCCCCTAGTTGGGGGAAAGCCACCCTTCAAGATCACCAACTCTTTCCTTAACTTACTGTTTTTACATTAAAACATAATATGTAATAAACATACTGTAAGTAAAACGTAATTTATGTTAAGAAAAAAATTAGGTACCTGTAGGTTAGATTAGATAGGATAGCTCTCACCAAAAATAACTTTACCCGTTCACTACTGATTGCCACATATGCAACGGACCACCATCATCTTGGTCATTGCCACGGACCGAGGTATACATTTTAATATTACACATCTAGACCGGGTGACACTTGGTACACAGTAGGCCTACACGCAGACCACGGGCCAGTGATGCAACAAATTTAAAAACAGCTCGTCAGCCGTAAAACCGGACTAACGTTTCAAATCCAGACTGTCCGGACGTATAGTAACTCCGCTTTAAAACAGCCTTGTTAAGTTAATAGCTAGCCTAAGTTAGGTAGGCCCTACACATGGGCCGCCCAAATAGTTCAACGGAATTTATAAAAAAAATGTTTACTGAATCTATTCTAGAGGGTTATAAGTCAGTAGCCTAACCTCTAGAATAAGTAAGTTAAGTAACTTAATAATTTATCGTTAAGTGATCAGGAAAGCAACACCTCGAAAATGAAGAAAAATGTATCTTTGACCACCTCATTAGAGAGTCTGGTTATCAGGCCTAGTGTTTAGCGTCTCGGACTTCAGTGTAAAAGGGACGGGTTCAATTTTCAGCACACCCACAAATCATAACTTAGGCCTATGGGTTCAAACTGCTTCCCAAAAGGCTTTTGTGTAGGCCTATCTCTCAACCTTCCTCCTTTGAAAATGTGTCAGGCAGGGGAAGTAAGTAAGCCTAACTTAGGCCTACCTAGATATGAAAGTAATCCTAAGGCCTCAAAGACTCTTTTGAATTTTGGCATCTAAATAAACCATTGGGATTCTTTTCTTTTTTTGTGTACCGGTACTGTAAGTTACTGTACTGTTTATACTGTTCTATGAAATGGCGACCATACAAAGTAGGCCTAGGTATTTTAAGCCAAGTATGAATGGAGATGAGTATAGGATGAGTGGATCTTGTAGTCTTGTGAAGGCCGACATTCCTTAGACACAGCTGTTAATTAATAGCCCACACAGCTAAGTTAATGGCAACTAAGGGACCTACAACAGGTTATAGTGGAATCTGAACCACATTTTTGCCTTGGTAATTACGAAATGGTCTAATTAAACTTATCAGGATAGTACTGCGGATAGTCGTAGTACTCACCCGTGCAGACGTTAATCCACACTGGGGAGTAACTTATACATATCATGTAGGCCTACCGGTAGGCCTAGGCTAACTTACTTAACATTGATGGCCAAATGACAAAAGGTATCTGAGTCCAGATACAATCTAGCATAGAATCGAACCGGCATATTTCAGATTAGAAGGTGGGCACTACTGTGGGAGAGACTTAAGAAGTCCCCTGAGCCCTGGCCTATTCTAAAAATGCAGGCACTTGCTACTCGACGGCTCGACGCATGCTCGTGTTCCACGCGGAAGTCAGGGCTCACATCCACAGCGTTAAAACCGTGAAATATCACTCGCCCCTTGCTGAGAGAGGGAGGTGCACCTGCAAATACCGTGCGGCAACATTCCAACATTCCTGCATATCGCTCTGCTCAGAGGACTTCTTAACTCTCGCCTACAGTATATCCAATTCGTTATCCAGATTGCTGTTACATAGGCTACCTTTCTTAGCATGTTATAATGTTATAAGCATGTTATAATTTGGGTTGGGTTAGGTAATTAGAAAAAAAGTTAAAGATAGGCTTAAGTTTTAATTTGTTTAAAGTATTTTGGACATAAAAGTTAAGAGTAAAGAGTTTCGTTAAGCACTACAACAGATCCTGAAGGCTTAAAAATTAACTTGGGAGTTAAGTTATCTAACTAAAAAACTAGGCTAGTCTGTCCAATTAAGGCTATGGGCTGCAAATGTTGTGAATGCAACGAGTGAAATAACTTACATTTTTCGAATTTGGTGCTAGTTTTTGAAATGTTGCGAAGAGGGATAGTTGTTCGAGACGCACAACGGGATAATAAACGACCACACAAAGTTAACGAAGCCATTTTCACTATGATAGTAATCCGTGAAAATATGTCCGACAAAAGGTCACCAGTTAGCGAGTGAAAAGAAAACAACTGCTAAATGCAAAATTCTAGTCTGGTCTGCTAGCAGTTTAGCCAACTCGTAAAGTTGTATCAGTTGAATAGCAACACTACTTTTTGTATAGTAGGAATAGCATTGATGTAGCTATGTGTTTTACCATAGATACAACATACGAGGAGTTATTTTTACTTTCTCCCTCTATACATTAAGGAAAGCGGAAGCGTTCCGCCCCGCCAAGTCCCCCAGCGATACACAGCTGCTGCAGTGTATATATACATGACGTGACAAAGTGGCTTTTTTACTCGTCTATAGCTCTGAAGAAACCAAAGCTATTAAAATAATTGTTCATCTACTAGATAGGGGTTTTCATTTTCAACAAAAAAAAAAGAATTCAAAAAACGGTTGTGTTTGAGCCAAGAAAAACTAGTTTGAAAATTCGCAAATTTTCCGTGTTCTCCTTCTCCTCCTTCTCCTTGAATGTTGGGCTCCGTGTTTAGCCCGGACGTGTTTGACGCGGACACCCTCAAAATGGTGGTGCGCGCGGACGGACGCTTTAGAAATCCCCGCGCCAAGGCCGGTTGGGTAATTCGGCACCTTTCGCCCCATTATCGAGTAAGGACGCTCGGTGGCGTTTCCCTCAAAACACAAAGATTTATAATTATCGTAACCAGAACTGGCCCGTAGCTACCAGTGGGAGAAAAAACGTTTATTTATTATTAATTCCTTTCGGATTTCAAAAATGAAACATTATTATTATAAGACCTGTATAATTGCAAGCACGTTGCAATGTGCAACGGAATCTATAGTATTATAAATTATAAATATTGGTTCTAGTAATCACTTTTAAATTTAACAATAAAATTTTTAAAAAATTGAAAGTAAAGCCTTTAAATTTTAGTATTACATCAAATATTGCACAAGCTTATGAACAATGAACCTGAGCATGTTCCATAACAATTTACTTGATAATGATTACTTAGGTGTCTATTTTACAATCAAAATTTAAACTTCACTTTTAGTCCTGAACCAGGGATGGGAACAAGACTGTTTCATGATTCTCAGCCTGTATTTTATATACTGCTTTACTGCGGTTCCGGATTATTTTAATTATGACACATCTATATACTGTATATTAACTAGGTGGCGTTTGCAGAGGCATTTACAAAATTGAGTGGAGTCATCAGGGTTCCATATAGTATATTGTTATTGACCTTCACCATTGAGCTTCATAATTATTTTTACCAACCATTTTAAGTGAAGGAAGAGAACGTTTGTGTAAAGATAGGTATTGGTGTAATTAGATACACGTTGTTCGTAATGAAGGGGAGTAAAAACACAGATAGAGATGTAATTTTAGACATTTTCGGAGACCTGAATTTACATGTTAATTAAAAACCATCAGGATTGGTCATGAACTTTTTCTAAAACAGAGCGGTACAGTTCTAGCTAGCTATGCCTATAACCTAGAAATAAATCCTTAACAGTTTCGGATTCCACCATTTTGGCCACTAATTACTGCATAAGAGGACATGATGGTGAGTATATCAGCGAAACCACGAAATATATACGAAAAATATCGTTAAAAAAGTTATATTGACATTCACATTTGCATTGATTCAAGCGTTTAAACCATAACCCATGTGTTCCACGTTAATAATTGTATAAGCAATCGGAACTGGGCTATAATGCCGTTATTTTAAATACAAAACTAATGTAGGTTAAGATAAGGTTTCCGTCATAAATATGACATATTTAAGTAAATAAAATATACATGTTGATCTTTAGCTTATGTTCTTTATTTTCATGCCTACTAATAATTGTTGTGACACGTGATGCGCCAATGTTTTGGTAATAATACAAACTAACACTTTCAACTAAACTATGATTTTATTGATGTAGATATGATATAAGCAAATTATATCAGTGGACTGTATAGTGAAGCTGTAATAAATTAATTTCTATAACGAAACTACTAAATGTGGATTAAGAGTCATAATTTAAGACTAATGAAATACGAGAGATCATTGACTAGATGCTGAAAGAAAACAATGTTACTCGGCTGACACGACAATCAGTAGGCTACTGATCACATAGACCACAGACCACATAGGACTACCACCCCACGGTCCTAGATAGAAAAGGAGTTTTTGTGACCGTATTTGTTCTTTACGCAGAAGGACGGTCTCAACTGCTTTGTTAAGAAGCCGACTAATTGCCCTAGCAGAACGAATGAGTGGTTTATGCGATCGTAAACAACTCTAGATGTTTGACAATATTTCAAATTTAGAAACGTAACTATCTCCTAACAGCATAAATATAAATATACCCAACAGATTAATTAAATACACTCTCCCCAACAATGATTGTTTCAAGCAAAAAATACTCATAAATAAAAAATGTTTGAATGAACAGTATACAAGTATTTGACAAAAATCGTTTACGCCATCTTTAATTTTGGACTTCAGAGACTCCGATTTCTTTACACCGTTTCACTAGTAGGCTAAATGCACACAATTCTTAGTCAAAATAACCAATCTTTAATTAAGCAATTTTCTTAGGGTTGTCTTACGGATTTACTCGACTATATTCAAATCTTTGAATTATGTTTCAATCGTTTACTTATTAGTTCAGTATATTTTGAATACACAGAAATTTATGTTGATGACTAATGCTGTGAATACAATTCAGTGACATAAGAACCAAAAATCTATGTAAATAATACCCCCGCCGGAACAAACCTGCAGACTTTGCAGAATTTCCATTTACCGGGTTCGATTTTTACTAAAATATTCATAAAAAGTTGTAAGCTCTACAAAATGGCTTGGAGGGAAATTATAAAACTTTGTGTTTTTAGGGTCAAACATAGGAAAAATCATTTTTCACCCCGTAAAACACCTTATCAAAACGAAAAAGTAAATCGGTCCTGGATCTAGTCTTACCATGAGACCTGCTGTAATTGCTATATGGAATATATGGGAAATTCGCTAAAATTAGAGTTTTGTCTGTACATGGCTTAGAATGATAAATGTTTCGGTTAGTTTCATCGTATGGAACGAGTCATACGATAGGAAAGCAGAAACGCTTACTCAATTTCTGCCTGTCTGTCTGTGACGCACAAGATGTTATTTTACGCTCTCTTCGATGGGAAAACGAACAAACAGATCACGATGAAACTATTTTGATGTATTCTCTACAAGCTTGAGAAGGATTTTAATTACTTGAAACGTGCCTATGTCCATTGGAAATAAAAAATACGAACACTCAAAACCCCAGTTTTGCGCGTAAGGCTCATTTTGTTCTAGGTGAAACCATTGACTAACCAACCACTAGTAGACTTATTATCCTATTGTAAATTTTGAAGCTCGTATTTCGTGTCTAGTTCATGTTCGGCGACACTGCGTGCGTTAGTGTCGACGGATTTTTTATTATTTTAAGGTTAATTTAAGGATTTGTGCTTTACTGTTTGGTTATGCACCGGCTTCAGCTGTTCCATACGGGATGAGAAATCTACTAGGGGAGTATGTTTGATCTATGGCTTTACTTTAATCAAGTCAAGGGATCTATAAATTAAATAATACTAGTGGTCGTCCAGTGGTCGAAAACTCGACCAAAACATGTAATGTACACCGTATTCACTATTGGGTACTGAAGTAAACATCCCATCTATATGGACCAGCTGTCGCCATTTTGTAACTAAAAAAAAACATGTAGATGTGTGAGCCAATCACCGAATGTTTGTCTTAAATTCTATTTTCTACCTTATTTTTGGTTGGATTCCACAGCATTTTAGAGTTTCTTGATTTGTCTAACCCTTCTAAAATGTTAACATTTAAAATTTGGACGTCCACGGGGAGTAACCAGAGGTGAATAGGCCTACATGTTACTGTAATTGGGTTATTAGAAATCTACTAGGTGAAACCCGTCGAAATCGACGGTTACTTTCTTCAAGGCTTACCTTAATTCATCTAACTGCAATAAATTGGGTGAAATATACACATTTTGAGCATTTAGCATTGTTTTAAGAGTAATAAGTGTAACAACAATAATGATATTAATTGCGTTAGTTGCCAAATTTGGTTGATAATTCAATGAATAACATATTCCCCATACCGTACGTCATCGGTGTTATTATTAGTATGTTATATTGTATCTCTTTCTTAGGAAGAAATTTTAAACAGTATTAAAATGGTATTGGTGGATCTTTTGTAGTTAAACACTTCCGTGATTTGTAACATGGTTTTATTTCAAAAGAAAATAATGTTTGGGAAGACATATTCTAACTTCAAAGGGTTATAGCCGTTACAGTGTAAGTTTCATTTTTCCTTCGTCACGTCGCGTCAGTTCATATCGTACTTCTGTGCTAATGAATGAACCCTCTAGCATATTTTTGAGAAATTGATTGTCGTTTACTGCTGGAATTCCTTGACATGGGGGATGTCAGTTAGTTGTCTCAGCCTTATCCATAAAGTTGTCAATATAATCTCTCTACGGAATGTTAGGTGTAGTGGAATACTTGAAGTGATGCTTTTATTCTTGAACTGTTAGGGGCCTTCTAGTTCATATGGTCATGCGGTTTCATTGACAACAAATAATGCAAATGACATAGCAATGGGACATTTCCAAAAAGCGAAAATACTGTAAATTGGCTGTTACGTGTATATATTGACGTTTACATATTGTTAATCAACGTATCTTATAAAGGATTATGTGATCTAGTTTAAAAGGAATATGGCCTTTCTGTCATGAGAGTAGCTGCTTAAATAGTATTTTCTCTTTGTGCCATATTTTACAGCCAAAACGTCGTGTTATTTTCAATAATGTTACCAAACCAGTGTGCCAAAGTCCGTAACAAAGGCAGGTGCAAATATTTGTTCAAGATGGGTAGGGTTTAGGCAAGGTTTCTATGTTTGGATTTTATTAGACACGATAAGAGCAGATATTTCCACATAAATATTTGATATGTGTAGAATAATATGATAAAATGTAATGTAGGCAAAAATGGTGAAAAAGCAGACACCTACCCGTACAATA